GCTCTTGCTCAGGCTGGTCTCGAACTCCTGACCTTGAGCGATCCACCCGCCTCGGCCTCCCAGAGTGCTAGGATTACAGGCATGAGCCACCGCGCCCAGCCTAGAGAGCTTTTAAAAATATTGACACCAGGGCCCTATCTCTCAAAGATTCTGACTTACAATTGGTTAGGATAACCAGTGGTCTAGGATGAGGCCTTGACATTGGTATTTTTTAAAGCTCCCCAGTGGATTAAGAACCACTATCCTAGACATACAAATATGGTTTAGGGGTTAGATGTTCTCAGGGATTCTCAGCCTAGGTCCTTGGACACGTGGAAAGGTGGGGGGTGTCAAGAACTTAAATGTGAGGAATTTTTGTTTTTTATCAGATTCTCAAGGGGATACAGCAAAGACTAATATTAAACCTGTGTATGAGTAGATGGTTTCATATTTTTATACATCAGAAGTTGGTTGGTGCTTATTATTAATTTGCTTGAGAAGGATTTGAGTTCCCCCATCAATAAAGCCAGACAAGCGATTAGTGCAGGTTAACTCACCACGAGGAGTGCTATAGTTGGAGCTTAAATAAGCACACATTTAAATATTTGCCATGCAACTTAAGCAGCAGTCTTTGAACATGTGTAGATTTGAAAGTTCATTTGGGTATTAGGTGATGGTTCCATTCTCTTCCTCTAGTGTCATCATAGAGATACTTAATAAAATGCCTTGAAAAGTATGGAAGAAAGAGTCTAATTCTCTCTGTGAGACTCTGAGGGCATTCTTAAAGGAAGAACCATTTCAAGGGTAGGTAGGACTTGAATAAGGTGAGGTCATATGTCAGAAACAACCTGAGCGGGTCTGTTCACCAAGGGCAGGGACAATCCTTGTGTCTCCCTGAAGGCTTACAAAGATCAGGTAGGAGGTGTTGCTTGAAAGGCAGTAGGACCAGCAGGTGGAGTCCCCTCCATACCAAGCTAGGATTGCTGTAACCTAGTTGTTCAGACAGTGGTATTTTCTTGCATGTCATTTATGAAGTGGTATAAATACTATATAATCCTTTAAGAAAAATTAGAAAATATAGGTACACAAAAAGGGAAGCAGTCCGTTACTCAGATAACACATTTTGCCTCCTAAGCATTTTCCCAAAGATAACTTTTTTTTAAAAAAGGGAATCTTACCATGCAGTGTTCTATCCTCCGCTTTTTCTACTTGAATCTAAAGCTTGAACATTCCAATTCAAAAAATATATCATAATTTTTATTGACTACTTAAATGGATAAATGGACATAATTTAACCCATTCCACTAATATGGGCTGTTTTATTCTCCTAAGTCGTGAACAATTTCATTATTTTAAATAATGCTATAATGATCACCCATTTATATACACATTTTGGCATATTGCCATGTTTTTCTTAACATTTCTAGAATTAGAATTACAGGAGCAAAAAGTATTGGGGGGTTTTCCAAAAGCAATACAGGGTGCCAAATTGACCCCCAGAAGTGTTTCTGTTTATAATCTATCCAGCCAGATGAGAATACCACACCAGTGACATTTTAATATCTAAAATGAAGAGTGTCATCTGACAGTCATTAGTTCTAAGCTGAACTTCTGAATCACTTTTGGTTGCCAACTTGAGTTATATTCAAAGATTCTAGCATATTGTGAAGATATCCTTTGCCATTTTTCATCTCTTGATCCTTCCTCTAAGATAAATTGGTTTGTGGTTTGTTGATATTATCTTTATGTGAGGATTGTCTGTTTTCTGAATTGTTTTTCAAAAATTCAGGGTTGTTTTTTTTTTAAACGACTTTTAGATGGCAGTTTATGTCAGTAATATAGGATTTGCCTTCCTTATATTTGATTAACTAGAATTCGGGTACAGAGGGGAATTAGAGGGAAAGGGGGGCAGAGTTAATTTTTCCCATGTGAAGCACTCACATCCTAACGACTGACAAATGAGGGAGCGAAGCGTTCCAATGAGGAAGGGCCAGAATCTTCAGATACCTGGTCAAGTGGAGGAAATCTGATGGAGAGGAAATCAGATGCTGTGTCCAACCTACTACGGTGGGTAGGCTTCCTATCACTATTCAGAGAGAAAGAATAAAAATGTAAGCCGGGCACGGTGGCTCACACCTGTAATCCTAGCACTCTGGGAGGTCAACCCTGGAGGATCCCTTGAGCTCAGGAGTTCGAGACCAGCCTGAATAAGAGTGAGACCTCGTCTCTACTAAACATAGAAAAATTAGCTGGGCATGATGGCACACACCTGTAGTCCCAGCTACTTGGGAGGCTGAGACAAGAAGATCACTTGAGCCCAGGAGTTTGAGGTTGCAGTGAGCTATGATGATGCCACTGCACTCTAGCTGGGGTGATAGAGCAAGATTCTGTCTCAAAAAAAAAGTGGTTTTGTATTCAGGCAAACCCATACTATGAAACCCTTCCCTTTGTGCCTGTTTAGAATGTCTCTAGAGGGATTTTCAAGGAATCGGTGATAGTGATTGTACATGGGGACCTGGAGTAGGAGGAAGACTTATTTTTCATGCCATACCCATTTGTACTCTTTGAATTATTAACTATATATGTTTTACTTTTTTAAAAAAATTTTAAGCTAGTTATTTTTTAAAAGCCTTACTCGCCCATGGTTATGTAAGATGTTAACATTAAGGGAAACTGGATGAAGAGTATATGGGAACTCTCTAAAATGTCTTTATAATTCTTCTATAAATCTAAATTTATTTAAAAATAAAAAGTTTTTTTTAAAAAGGAGAAGGGGGAAAAGTATGTCTTCTTATATGGAATCCTACGCCATGAGGCTTTGTTTTACCTTCTTTTCGTTTCTTTTAAAGATTTTCCTGCTCTCACTTCTAATTCTGCTGACCTCCTGATTACAGTACACCTGTCTTAGCCATGGCACTGTTTTTATCAGGGTCAGACTGTTATTTCATAATGAAAATCAGCTGGCAGATACTTAAACATTCACAACAAATCAGGGGAAGAACTCTGTGAATATATTGCTCTCAAGACTTTTCCCAAGCTCTAAAATTGAGTTTCAGAAGGAATCGTGTGTGTGTGTGTGTGTGTGTGTGTGTGTGTGTGTCTGTGTGTGTGTGTCTGTGTGTGTGTGTCTGTGTTGGGGGTGGGGGAACTTGATGGACAGAGGGGCTGTGGCCAGTGTCTGAAATCCAGCAACAGTGAAAGGGTGGAGAGAGAAGGCAGATGCAGAAACATTCTTGAGTTGGTGATTCAAGTATGTGGATGACAAAAGTTGCTTGTTCAGGCCAGGCAGAGGCAGGTAAATTGGGCAGCTTTTCTGGTTATTTCAAGGGGTGAAGCACTATTGTTAATGGAGGGAAAGAGAGGCTTTGATGGGGCGGGTTTCTTGAGGTCAGAATTTGATCTATCTTGCCTTTGATTCCCAGGCAACTGTCCTGCATGCAGATATTTACTGAGTGCCCACTTTGTGCTAGGCACTGTTCATTCATGGTACTGGGGATACAGTCTCTGCTCCCACAGAGATTACATTCAAGTGGAAGGGACATCAATACACAAATAAACAAATACATGTCAGACATGTCAAGTAGATAAGTCCATGAAGAGAAATAAAGTAGGGTAAGGGGCTGGAGACATGGGTAGTTGGAGCCCTGAGGATGTTCTTCAGATAGGGTGTCAATGGCGGCTTCTTGGAGGAAGTGATGTTAGAGACCCAAATGAAATAAGGACAGAGATGAGCCATGCAGGTGTCTGTGGGAAGGGCATTCTGGCAGAGGGAACCATGAAGATGAAGGCCCTGAGGGGTGGAGAAGGGCTTCTTGTCAGGGGACAGCAAAGAGGCCTGTGTGGCTGGAGCTGAGTGAGGAGGAGAATGGGAGGTGATGAGAGGCCAGAAGAGTTTCGGAGAAGCTTATGGGAAAATATATTGGTAACATAGAAGCTTCCTGACAAAGTGAGCCTGTTGCTATAAGGAGAAATGTGAATTAATGGAATGCTATGGACCTTTATTTCCACTAGCTATCCTGGAGAGTGATACACCATAAAATGGTTAAAAGATTGATCCAGGGCCGGGCGCGGTGGCTCACGCCTGTAATCCTAGCACTCTGGGAGGCCGAGGCGGGCGGATCATTCTGAGCTCAGGAGTTCGAGACCAGCCTGAGCAAGAGCGAGACCCCGTCTCTACCAAAAAATGGAAAGAAATTAATTGGACAGCTAAAAATATATGTAGAAAAAAAAAATCAGCCGGGCATGGTGGCGCGTGCCTGTGGTCCCAGCTACTCGGGAGGCTGAGACAGTAGGATTGCTTGAGCCCAGGAGTTTGAGGTTGCTGTGAGCTAGGCTGATGCCACGGCACTCACTCTAGCCAGGGCAACAGAGTGAGACTCTGTCTCAAAAAAAAAAAAAAAGATTGATCCAGGAATGGGGAGATGTGGCTCCTGTTTGACGGTTTTCCCTTTTGCTCAGATATTAATTACTTGACCCATTTTGTGGCTCATTCCTGAAGTGCAGAATTGTCTTGTGGTGCTCTTGGGGGCATTTGAGAGGCAACCTTTACGTGGTCCTCAAGCTCCAGGAACAGAGGGCGACACTGGGTCAGGTAAAGCAGACATGAAGATGGTGTGACTTGATCTGTCCCAGGGGATGTTCACGTCTTTCCCGCATTTCAACTGTGGCCTCTCTTCTTCCAAGCAGAATTGGCTGCCGTGGTCCTTGCTGCTTCTCTCTCTCACATGTGAATCAAGCGCCTTCTATGTCCCTGGGGTCGCGCCAATCAACTTCCACCAGAACGACCCTGTAGAGATCAAGGTAAGTGTGTTCCTGAGCTGTTGGAGCCTCTGCGCTAAGCAGCCTGGCTAGAGGACCATGGGCAGCTGTGCATGTCCATCCAGTTGTCCTGGGAGAAAGGGTTCACTGCATGCTACACAGGCTGGAAGTAGAGTGTCCTAGATTATCTTCAGGAGCCCTGCGATTCTGAGAGCTCTACCCCTGCCTCTTCATCTCTCTCTCCCTGTACCTCTCGTTCTTCATATCCTCTCCCCATTTCTGGTTCTTTCTCTGTCTCTGTGTGTGCTTGTGTATGTGTGCATCTGTCTCCTTCTCACTCTCACTTTTGCTCTCAAACATTCTTTTCTCTCTGTGTGTATGTGTCCATGCCCATCTCTTTTTGCATCTCTGTCTTGCTCCAACTGCCTCCTCCTCTTTGGCATCTCTGCCTCCCTCTTTTATCTACTCTATCCTTCTCTCTGTTACCAGCTTTCTCTGCATAACTCACAGCATCTGTTCATATCGTTCATATATTGTAAACATCTCTCTTCCTTGGCAGTCAGACTTATAACTTGCAAGAACAGTAATTAAAATAACATTTATTGAAGGTTATTTACATGCCAGGCATTATTCATGGCTTAGCTCAGGATGTCTTCCGAGAACCCTCTGAGGTGAATTCTATATGTTTTATGGATTTCCTGTACATTTTACAGATTAGGAAACTGAGGCCTAGGAAAATAAATCAACATGCCTAAGGTCACATGATGAGGGAGACATAGGGTTAGTCTAAAGCCCCATCTCTTAACCACTGCAATATCCTCCTCCCACTGCCTCTGCCAAAAGCCCCCCCAGAGCAAAGCTGTGGCAGAGGGGCTACGGGGGTTGCTCTGGCTTCCAGTCCTGCCTAGCTGAGGATGTGGGAAGAGAGAGAGTGGGAGGGAACATAAAGGTGGGACTCATCTCTTTATAATATGGATTCTTTTCTGATTGTCCCCAGAGACAGAATGCTGAGAAACACAAAATTATTATAACAGATGACAACTTTTTGACTACTTTTTTCTCAAGCAGTTCGTGTAACCCTTAATAGAGGTCCTTAATGTCCTCAATCTAACATCCAGAAAGCTCTGAAATTCAAAGTTTTTCTAAGCTCACTGGAGGCAAGAGCTGGCTTGAACTGAACATGAAGCTGTTTATTGACTTATCCCACTCAGTATGAATATTTTTGCATTTTTCTGTACAAATAGTCATTGAACATGAGGTACTGCTCCAGACGCAGCTGGGGGTGTTAGGAAACCTATGGTATATATACCACATTACCCTTCTAAAATCTGGAAAATTCCTAATTCCAAAGCAAGAGTTTTAAATAAGCGTTGTAGACGTGGATTCTAAAAATTATTTATGCTTTTAGATGAAGCATGAGGAATGCTCAATATTTCCTAAATAGTAAAAATAATTTTAGTTATATTTAGATTAAAATTTTATTTTTTGTAACATTTTGATGGGTTCTATATTATCTGTGGTTTGGGGGTTTCCTGTGATTACTGCCGTTTCTAGTGCTATATCCTGTGTGCTTGCATCATTTCCTAAACATTCTCCGTCATCTTCTTAAACCTTATTTTTAATGCCACACAATATTTAATTAAATAAATATATCATAGTTTATTGATCAATTTCCCATTGTAGGAGCCTTTAGTTGTTTTTTGGTTTTCTGTCGTCTCTCATTCAGCAAACATCTAATGAGCACCTACTCTGCACCTAGCTCTACGGCACTGGGGTTACAGAGGTGACTGAGGCACACACAGTCCTTGCCCTCATGGAGCTTGAGTCTTAGATTATAGTGGGAGAAAGTGATTTTTTTTAAAAAATAGGTAAACAAAATGATTATATCTTATCAGACATGCAGCGAAGGAAACAGAGTGTTGAAGTAGAGAATGATGGGAGTTCCGTTAGACACGCTGTTTAGGGCAGGACTCAGAGGTCAGGATTTCAGCCGAGACCTAAATGTGAGAAGAAGCCACATGTGCACAGAGTAGGGCAGAAAGGAGCAGCAGGTTCAAACCCTGGGTCAGAGCTTGACTGACTCAAGGAACTGAAGAAGACCACTATGGTTGTGAATCAGAAGTGAACTTCTTTGTTCTTAAAGGCTTTTTTCCCCTCATTGAAGTTATTTCCTCAAGAACGATGCTCAGAAGTGAAAATATCAGCCCAAAGGATAGCAATATGTGCAAAATTCTGGGTATTGAATTTGGTTGTGAGTTTAAATGTGTAATGCAAGCAATCTAAAATTAATGAAATGTGAAATAATTCAGAATTGTGGGCAGTATAGTATATAGTATACTACAGTTATGTCTGCTACAATTAGTTTGCCTATTAGATACTATTACCAACTATACTAAAGGTGTGTGGGTACCAGGGAGGATTATTGAAAGAGGATTATTGGTTTCTGCTGGATGGTAGAACAACAACCTCTCTTCTCCCACCAGGCCGTGAAGCTCACCAGCTCTCGAACCCAGCTACCTTATGAATATTACTCATTGCCCTTCTGCCAGCCCAGCAAAATCACTTACAAGGCAGAGAATTTGGGTAAGTGCTGCTTTTACACTGCTGTCAACCTGTCCCCAAGGGGCACCCAGCATGGTTTTATAACAATAATAGCAGTTAGCCTTGCTATGTGCTGGACACTATTATTGTACATAGTTTACATACCTACTAGTTTATTTAAGCCTCATAATGACCCTGAAGGGGTAGCTGCTATGTTTATTCCCATTTTGCAGGTTAAGTGACTTTCCTCTGGTTATACTTTTAATGGCTAAGCTGGGCTTTGAATCCAAGCAGTCAGCCTTTAGAGTTGGAGCACTTGGCTTCTACTCAGACCAGCTTTGTCTGGATTTCTAGATTTCTCCTCTCTCCCAGCTTTTGTCATCTGCTCTGCTTTTGATGGAAAGAGCGAGTGATTACCTCTGCCCTAAAAGCAAGTAGTCACCATAGTTCTTGCTAAGCTGTGCAAGACTTGCCTCAAATAATCTGAGACACCCAGCACAGTGTCTGGCACAAGTATTCCATAAATAGTAGCCATTTTATTCTAATTTAAATAATTCTCCATTTGGTAGAATTTCAGGCTTAAAGGAAAAGGCATTTGGAGGCATCTCTTCAGGACACGGTTATTCATGCTTCTACTGTACCTGCTTCCATGTTAAGTCCTGGAGATAAAAGCACGGAAAGATGCTTTTCCTGAACTCAAGAAACTTAAGAGACTTTCTTCTTTTCTTATACCTTAGGAAGGAGAAAGGTGAGAGCAGGCCCCTGAAAGGGCTGCCTTCTCTGTCAGGGTTACCTATGGCACAGATGTTTCCAGAACCCCTAGCTGGTAAATATATCTCTGCCAGGTATTAGCGGTCCTGGACCAGCTGGAGACAGACCTTGGAACCAGTTTAACCAAAAGTGGGCTGCACCACCTCCCCCAAACACCAACTTTGCCTACATTTTGCCTTGTGGTATCAAACAGATTGGCTTCAGAGCCTGGGCTGGCTTCCACTGACTGTGCAGTGGTACAGCTCGTGACCCTGCCACCAACCATCTGTATACTGATGCCTGCCTGCCTGCCTCCTGCCTGCCATTTCCCTTCTTTCCTCTCCACACTGTGCTGTGCTCTAGCCACCTTGCCTTTGCCTGGGAAGCCAGACCCACTTGGTCCTCCAGGTCCCTGATACCAGCTGCTTCTTCCTTCCCCTGGGAGCTAGTATGGATTCTTTGGCAGTCCAAGACTACTTCAGTGTGATAGTGAATGATCTTAACCTCTCTGAACTTCTGCCGAATCTTGCATGAAACTGGGGAATGTTCCCACCTCATAGAAATGGAGACTTCTGTGTATAAACGTCATCCTGCCATATTGCATCTCGATCTGTCTTTGTGTAATATTTCCCTTTGTCACCCAAGGGCTCTTTGACTTGAGGGATTATGTCTTATATTCCTTTCTCAGCTTCTAGCCCAGAACCTGACACATAGTAGACATTCGGGAAATGTTAATGTCCTACCTAAGTCGAGCAAAAACATCCTTGTCTGAATGTCTGTTGGATTGCAAGCCAATCATTGTAATGGAAAGATATAAAAATGTAAAAACTCTACATTATCATCATGGTCACCACCACCACGATTAATGTTTGTAGGGCTCTTCCTGTGAGCTGGACACTGTTCTAAGCATTTCTGTGCTTTAACTCATTTAATTCTCACAACAACCCTGAGGTAGATTCTCTTACTGTCTCCTTATTACAGACAAGGGAAGTGAGGCACAAGGAGGTGAAGTCACTTGCCCCAGGTCACTCATCTAGTAAATGGCAGAGCCCTAGGAACCACCCCCATTAGGTGTGAATTTACCCATCCCTTTCTCCCCCCTCCCACCTGCCCAACACCCAATGAATGTTACTTCTATATGTGCACATAAGTTTTGAACGATTAGTACCAATTTAATGGTGAGTACATGAGGGGCGGACTGCCTCCCGATCCTCATCAACACTTAAGCATCACACTCTGCACTATCTTCCTAGAGTCTTATAGTAACTCTGTAAGCTGAGTATGATCATCCTCATTTCATAGTAGAGGGAACAGCAACTTCAAGGGTCTGAAAGACTTCAGGGTCACATGGCCAGTAGGTGGAAGAATTGAGATTTAACTCAGGTTTTTGACTCTAAAGCCAGAGTTCTTTCTGTAGTCCCAGGCTGCCTTCTCCAGAAAGGCTCATTTGGGCTGTCTGAGGGCAGTGCTCATGGTTGTCACATGAATGGAGATTCATGTCGTGGTGTGTGTATTGGAGCAGCTGTGGCATGTGATCTGGGAGTACTACATCAGGTTCTCTTAGAAGGTCCACATTCATGACTTCTTGCTCGTTGTTGAAAGGAATACTTCTGTATTAGAAAAGAGCCATTCCTGACCAGTATGTCCTCTTTCTTGGGTTAAATTTAATTTCCGAATATTAAGAAGTGATACCACCTTCCTTGTTCTGCAGCCCTGTTCCCCTCTCGATGGTTGTTTCTCTGCTCAAACAAGATCCTTGTTGACCGGAGAAGTGGGCAGGAGGATGTGGTGTAGAGGAAAGAGCCCCAGGGGTTTAGCATTACCACAGCCCCCCATGTGGTCATGGGCAAGCCACTATCCTCCGTCATCCTCAGCTTTGTCATCTGTGAAATACATTTCAGCAGTGGGCTATGCAGATGTCTTACGATGTCCTTGCTCTTAACTGGCCAGTCCATGCCTGGGTTTTGCATGCTCACCTACATTACCAGGCTTCCAAAACAGGGCAGAGGGGAAAGAGGCCTTCATCCAGGCCCCTCCTCACCCTCTTCCTCTCCTGGGTGGCTTCATCCACACTTTTTTTTTTTTTTAATTTTAGAAACACTTATTCATGCGTAGCTTGATTTTATTATACTGGTGAGCCTATATAAAGTTTTACTCAAAATTATTTTTAAAAATAATAATATTTCTCAAAAAATAAAATAACAGCTACACAATGTTTACATAATGTATAGGAAAGCAAATTTTTAAATTTGGCTCTCAGCATCAAAAGATAACAAAGGCAGAAAAATTCATCTTGGTAATAGTCACAAAATCATTTCTTACCTATGTATGTTTGTGATAACCTGTCACAGATAAAGGTTTTTTTCTCCCAATATGGTTATTTGGAATTTGTTATGAAATTTACTGCAAGCTTCTTCAAATTTTAAATTTATGATTAATAATTTTGTCAAAAATGTTGATTGAATTTTCTTTGCATACACAAATTTTTTTGATAGTTCAATTTTTATGTTATTTATATTCTTTCTTTAAGAATTCATTTGTAGAATGTATTTTTTTTATATTTCAGAATATTACAGGGGTATAAATGCTTTGGTTACATATTAATAAATTGTTTTTGCATGGCCCAAGTCAGAGTTACAAGCGTGCCTATCCCTCAGACAGCATGTACCGCCCCCATTAGGTGTGAATTTACCCATCCTCTTCTCCCCCTCCCACTTGCCCAACACCCAGTGAAATGTTACTTCCATATGTGCACATAAGTTTTGATCGATTAGTACCAATTTAATGGTGAGTACATGAGGGGCGGACTGCCTCCCCATCCTCATCCACACTGGAAGCATCTCTTGCCAGGGCTTCTGTTTTGCACAGCTGAGTGCCGCCCTCTACAGCAGCACCGCTCATGGCCCTGCTACTTAACTTCTGTGTGCTGACAACTCACAACTTCCACCTCTGCCCTGACCTCTCCTCTGAGCCTTAAATCTTGATATCTACCTGCCCACTTCATGTGTCAAAACTGAAAATGCCTTCAATCTAAATTTTCTGTTCTTTGTTTTCCCACCTAGAACCTAGTTGTAGAAATCTCATGGTATTCCTAACATGCACCATCCTCACTAATTCCTTATGTCCAGTCAGCACCAGATCCCATAGATTTCACCTCCTCAGTAGCTCCTGAGTCTGTATCCTCTTCTCCACCCTCACTACCCTCTGTTCCAGCCACCAGCATCACTCATTTGCATGACTGACTGCCATCACTCCCAGCCAGTTCCTTGCTTCCTCTGTTTTCTTCACAAAACAGCCAGAGCCACCTTTCTGTCACCAGAATCAGATAAGTCTTCCCTCACCCCAGTCAGAAACCTTCATTGGCTTTCGTTGCTTTCTAGGTAAAGATCAAGGTATGTGTGGCTCCTGGGCCCCCTGAGGACCAGCTCTGGCCCACCTCTCCAGCTCACCCAGTCATTGTCCCCAACTCTCTGCATTGCAGCCACACAGGCCTCTCAAATTTACTGCTCCCCCAACCCTTACCCGCATGGGGCCTTTGCACATACTGTTCCTTCTGTCTAGAATGTTCTTCCCCTATCTCTTGGCCTAGTTAACTTTTTCTCTTCCTGTAGAGCTCACTTCAAGTACCATTTCCTCAGGGAAGCTTTCTTAGACCTACTCTACAGCAATTTATCCCATAAATTCTCATTTTGCTGATTATGTAATCAAAGTCTGTCTTTTCACTCGACCATAAGCTCTATGAGTTTGTCTGTTCAACTTTGTATCTTCAGGGCCTGGCATGTAGTGGGTACCCAGTGCATGTTTGTGAGGGAATGAATGAATGACTAGCTGACTAGGCAGAGAATGCCATAGGAAATGGATCCATACTGATGGGCAAGCGTTAGACCAAGTGCATGTGGAGGCGTTAGTCCTGGCTGTGGTTGGTCTCCTTCAGCTTGCCCCGGTGTCACATCATCACAGTAGAATCAGTTGTTGAATGGCTCAGAGTGAAAGCACCATTGGGTTTAGGTGACATTCTAACTGCTCAGTGCCTGTTAGCATGAGGTCTGGCAGCAGGTTACTCTGAAGCAACAGGCACACAAGGGGCATGCCAGTTTGTTAAGTAAAAGGATGTTTTGGATAAAAACCTCAGGTGCTGGATTCACCCTGCTTCTCTCCCTGCCAAACCAGGATCTAAAGACACAGGGATAAATAAGAAACAATCTACCCTTAAAGAGCTCATAGGTAGGAGAGCTAGAAACATAAATATATCAGAACATCATACAAAGTAACATCATTGACATATGAAAAGGTGCTAATGATAAAATTAGTGTTGGTTGCTTGTCTGCTCTGTGCCTGGTAGTTTACTTAGATTAATTCCTTTATTCCTCACTGTAACCCTATGAGGTGGGTGCTATTATTATCCCGTATTACAGATAAGGACATTGAGGCCCAGTGAGGTTGAGTGACTTCCCAAGCCTGCTAAGCTAGTAAGTGGCAGAGACAGGGTGCAGTAGCAGGTGGTCTGCAGTTGGAGCCTTCTCTCTTCACTGCCTGATGCTGCCTCGGCACAGAGGGAAATCAGAGGAGGAAGTGACGAGCTTGTCCTAAAGGAGTCAGGAAGGAATTGCTGGAGAGAGTGAAATGGAAGCTGAGTTTGCAGCCAGGAGCATGGGGCAGGGCATGGCAATCCAGGCAAAGGAAGTGACTGAGGCCCAGCCGCATGGAAGAGTATGAAATGTTTGATGAGTACTGAGGGGTCCAATGGTACTAGAGCACAAAGGAAGAGGAGCAGGCGACAGGTGGGGGTTAGCTGGGCCAGCTAGACTTGAACAGATGGGAAGGGCATTCACTGCCAGGCTTGGGTACTGCTGAAGTCCTTGGAAGTCCATTTTTGCCCTGCAGTCCTGCATCTCTGTGACTCTGCTGACCTCAGCAACCTCAGGGCTGAAGCTCTGAGCTCGGATCTGTCTCTCTTACGGCAGGAGAGGTGCTGAGAGGGGATCGGATTGTCAACACCCCTTTCCAGGTTCTCATGAACAGTGAGAAGAAGTGTGAAGTTCTGTGTGGCCAGTCCAACAAGCCCGTGACCCTGACAGTGGAGCAGAGCCGGCTCGTGGCCGAGCGGATCACAGAAGACTACTATGTCCACCTGTAAGTTGTCCTCTGCTCCCTACTGGCCTCAGATTCACATAGGGGAGGGCACTGATGGGAGAGGCAGTGCAGAGGGACTGAGCAGGGCCTTGGGTTTCCAGCATTGCTGACAACCTGCCTGTGGCCACCCGGCTGGAGCTCTACTCCAACCGAGACAGCGATGACAAGAAGAAGGAAAAAGATGTGCAGTTTGAACATGGCTACCGGCTCGGCTTCATGGATGTCAACAAGGTATGGTGTCTTTGGCGTGCTCACAGGGCTGGGGAGCCACACCTCACGAGTCAGGAGCACTGAGGGCCGTGGAGAACGGGGAAATATTCAGCTGTAGGTTCGTAACAGAAAATATGAGGATCGCCAAGGCAGGTTTCTCCCCGTGCCCCTGAGCGTGATGGTCTGTCAGAGGTCTGAGTGCTCTGGGCAAGGCCCTGTTAGATGCTACAAGGAGGTGAAGGCACAGTCCCTAAAAAGTCAGATTCCTTTTATAAGGTTAAAACAAAAAAGAAACCTGGCACTTCATTGGTATGTAGGAGAGAGGGCTAAGTTGTGGTCAAGAGCGTGCAGTCTCCCAGGGTCTGAATCCTGCCTCCACCAGTTACTGGTTATCTGAGCAACCTTGAGCCTGTGATTCCTTGTCTGTAAAATGTATGTAATAAGGATGGCCACTCTCTGGGGTTGTTACGCAGAGAAAATCAGATTGTGTGAGCACCTCACAGCACAGCCCCTGAGAATAAGCTAATAATGATGATGATTATAAGTGTGATTCTCTTTACTGATCTTTATGATTTTCTGAACTGGGCACATATTACTTAGGGAATAAAAAATAAAAACATTTCTTTTGAAGCACAGCCCGTCCTGCAAGGACTTCTGTCCTGATTGGGAAGAGAACTGACAGTATAAGACCCTGGATCTTAAGTACCAGTTGCCTTCCGCTGACTGTTAATGCCAGTGGAGTTCAGAGGGAGCTCATTGTGCATTCAGGTTATCACGGAGGAGGTGGGCCTTGAAAATAGGTAGGCTTTTGCAGAATGGAGTTGGGGTGGCATTCTAGTTGGAGTGAATATGGTAAACAGAGATGTAAGGTAGGGAGGGTCTGGGAGGCCGGTGAGCTCATGTGACTTAGAAGATGATGACAGCCAGGCATATTCAGGTCGGATGATAGAAGGCCTTGAATGCCAGGCTAAGAGAATTGGGCTTTTATATGTTAAGCTCCAGGGAGCCCTTGAGGGTTTCTGAGCAGGGCAGTGGTAAGAGGAAAACAGTGTTGTTGGAAGGTTGGTACAGCCAGGCATGCTGGGTGAGGGGAGGGACCTGACACCTGGGTAGTCTCCCTGAGTGATTTCCTGGTTGTCTCTTGCCATTAGTTGTTTTGTTCTCTGTTGCTCTGTTTTAGATCTACCTGCACAATCACCTCTCATTCATCCTTTACTACCACCGGGAGGACATGGAAGAGGACCAGGAGCACACATACCGTGTCGTCCGCTTCGAGGTGATTCCCCAGAGCATCAGGCTGGAGGGTGAGTGGGGAGGTGTGACCAGAGGGGCAGGGCTGGATGGGCCTGGGCTTCCATACCCAGGGTCTTCTCACGCCTCACACTCCCGAGCTGGCTAACGGGCTCAGGTGTGGTGTATGGGTCCAGCCGAAGAGAGTCATGGTATCCTGTTAGAGAAGGTGGGGTTGAGGGGAAAGCTGACAATCTGACGTCTGCTGTGGCACAGACTGGGTACCTTATTAGTTTACTCTTTCCCAGCAACCACAGGAAGTAGATATGTAGTGATAATAGCTGAGAAACCACAGGCTCACAGAAATTAGTGACTTGGCCAAGACCAAACAGCAAGTTGGGGCTTGGTGGAGCCTCTTCCCAAGAACCAGCCAGCTCATTCTGGGTTGAAGAACAAGGGGCAAGGACCCAGACAGAGCTGTTGGGCAGCAGGTTTCTCTGTTTCTCTCCCTCTGTGGGAGTGATTGGCAAAGACCAGAATTTGCCCAGGATCAGCCGTTGTTCTGCAGTTTGGGAGCCCAGCTTAGTCCTTCTGGGCCTCACAGGACCTGGTCCAGTGCCACCTCACCTGCCAGCCCTCACCAGACCGTGCTCTCCAATTAAACAGTAGGCCCAGCCTTTTGTCCATGGTGGTGGTTTTCTGGCATTTTTTTTTTTTTTTAAAGCTGCAGAACCTACTTTTCAAACAAAATTGGACACAGAAGTCTGAAACATAGATCCAGTACTTTTTAACAGCACCATACTGCATCTCCTGCTATGCGTGTCCTGAGCACAGTTCTACATTTGTGTACATGACAGTTTTGAGTTCATCTGCTCCCCTACTAGCTCTTTGAGAGCTTAGACTCTCTGTCCCCTTTCCTCACCGTTTTATCTCCAGCACTCAGCACAGTACCTGGCACATAGTTGGTGCTTATTAGAGTTGGTTGAATGAATAGACAGATGACAGGATGAAAAAATGAGGAAATGAATGGAGAAAGCATCTGAGTGATTGAATGACTGAAGTCCTGGGACTTTGGAGATGAACTAAGTGAGTAAACATGACAGAATGAATCAGTATTGTTTTGTGTGTTAAATGGGACTGACTGAATGAGTAAGTCAGTGTTTGAGTTTAGTGAAGGGAGACCGACTGACTAAAGGAAGGACTCAGACTCAGGCCTCTCTGCAGTCCCTAGGCCTTTGGAAGGTCAGGGCCCTGGGGAATATAATTTTTGTTATTGTTGGGGTTTTTTTGTTTTGTTTTTTAGAGACATGGTCTCACCGCATCACCCAGGCTGGAGTGCAGTGGCATCATCATAGCTCACGATTGCCTCAAATTCCTGGGCTTAAGCAATATTCCTGCCTCAGCCTCCCAAGTAGCTGGAACTACAGGCACACCACCATGCCCAGCTAATTTTTCTTATTTTTTGTTTAACCAGGCTCTCCCTGTGTTGCCCAGGCTGGTCTTAAACTCCTTGCCTCAAGTGAAACTCCCACCTTGGCCTCCCAAAGTGCTGGGATCATAGGCATGAGCCACCAAGACGAGCCTAATTTTTAAAATCCATTTTTATCCACTGCTCCCAGCCTCCACGCAGACCCTAAAGACCAGGGTCCCAGCAGCAGGCAGCCTCAACCATGGAACAACCCTTGGGTAGTGGCACTGGCTGCCACAGGAATAGACTGAGTCTCTGTCTCTCATAGATCTCAAAGCAGATGAGAAGAGTTCATGCACCCTGCCCGAGGGTACCAACTCCTCACCCCAAGAAATTGACCCCACTAAGGAGAATCAGCTGTACTTCACCTACTCTGTACACTGGGAGGTGAGTAGGGCTGGAGCTCACGGGCAAGGGAGGAGGGTTCTGGTCCGGGCCAGGATTCTCCAGCAGAGGCCTGACTCTGCATGCTTCCTCCCAACTGCCAGGAAAGTGACATCAAATGGGCCTCTCGCTGGGACACTTACTTGACCATGAGTGACGTGCAGATCCACTGGTTTTCTATCATTAACTCCGTTGTGGTGGTCTTCTTCCTGTCAGGTGAGAGACCTGTGGGATGAAGGGTGCAGAGGATGGGTTTGGGGTTGAGTGACTGAGGCATCCACCTGCACGTGCATGCATTCACTGATGCCATGAAACTTTGATGTGCTCATTCTGTGCCAGGCACTATGCCAGATGCTGGGGATATGGTGTTGAACAAACCCACCCCAGTCTCTGCCTTCACAGAGTCTGTATTCTAGTGGTGGGAGAGAAACAAAAAAGCAAGTAAATAGTGGAGTTCCATATAGGGATAAGTGCCATGAAGCAGATAAACAGGTGACCAAATACATAACAGTTGAGGAAAGGGTGAATGCTACTTTAGGGAAGGCCTCTCTGAACGAGGAGGAAGAGCCGTCATTCAGAGACCCAGGTAAAGACTGTTCCAATGAGTGTCACACTCCTGCAGTGAGATAAACTTGGCGAGAAGCTGGATGGCGAGAGGGTGGTGGACAGAGGTGGAATGACACTGATTGTTTCAATATCATGTGAGAAGTGAAGATGATGCTAGCTACTGTTTATTAAACACTTACTAAGGGGCCAGCTGCTGTCCTAAGCACTGTACAAACACCTCAATCCTTGAAGCCTCATGAGCTAAGCCTAAAAACATTAAGTGAGCTCAAGGTCATGCAGCCCATTCTCCTAACCACTGCATTGCTGCCCGGGGAGGGAAATAGGGAAATAATGGGGGTGGGGGATTTCTGAACTTTTGAGGGGTACTGAGAGTTGAAGATGTCTTCGGTGAGTCTTGAAGCATGAATATGAGTCAGTTAGGGCAGGGTGGGGCATTCAGACAAAGGGAATAGCCTGGGCAAAGGCATGGAGGTGAGAGAGCCACAAGGCTGTGAGCTAGTAGGTGGCTAAAAGCAGCAAATAACCAGAGGTGGAGTGAGTAGTGAGCCTGGGAGAGATGAGGCTGGAGAAGTTGTCAGGATCAAGCCATGGAAGAGCTGGGATACTCTTTAGAACAAAAAGCAGCATCCTTTGGCTACCCCCAACCATCCCAGTGGCACTTCCTTTCCCCAGCCCGGGCAGTATCCCTCTGTGCACCCTTCCCTTGGTGGAGTGCACAGCTGGAGTGGAGCTCCGCCTAGAAGAGGACCTGAGGTCCTGGATAGCCAGTTCCTACTGGAACAAGCCATGTACGCCAGCAAAACACCAAGCCCAGGGGGGCACAGGGCACAGAGGACTGCTGGCAGTGCCAGCAGCTCTTCCTCCCCACCCCTGTCTGTTTCAGGCATCCTGAGCATGATTATCATTCGGACCCTCCGGAAGGACATTGCCAACTACAACAAGGAGGATGACATTGTACGAGGTCTTGGCTGGGGAGGGATGGACTTGGAGAAGGAGGGCAGTCTAGCAGTAGGGCTCTGGGCCTACCAGACTGGGAGGGGTGTGTGTGTCTGTTATCACTCACAGAGGAAACCTCATGAAGGTGAAACAGAGAAAAAATTTTTAATTACCCAAAATGATGAGGATGAGCTTTCTAATTTCCAAGCGTAAAAGCAATGAAAGAAGTCACAGAAAGAAAAGTTAATTGACATTAATGTTTTAAAAACTATTCTGCCTGTCAGATACATAGACAAAACAGAAAAAGGAAGTGGCAAAACAATATTTGCAACAAACTTGAAAAAAGTAGTATAGTTGAAAGAATTTGTATAAAGTCTCTTCAGGAAAAAAACCAAAAACCTAAAATCTCTAATGTAATGACGAACAGGAAGTTTATAGACAAGGAACTACACATGGCACGTAAGCATGTGAAAAACTGTTTTTACCTCATGAATAACCCCTGAAAATGCAGGTTCAAATAATCATAAGACCATTTTGGACATCAAATTAGTACAGATTTTTTTTTTTAATAGTACTAATTGTTGGCAAGGTTAACATAAGATAGCACTTCCCATACCACCCATGCAAGTGTAAATTGGTAGTTTTCTGAAAAGCGATTGGTCAAGAACTGTAAAATAGGCAACTTGCTTTGACACAGAAATTATTTTAGGATTTTCCTAAGGAAATATTGAAAAACACAAAGACTTGGTCTAGAAATACTTATTACAGCTTTGAAATATAATTTCAAAGAGTATTTATTGACATGAGGAAATGCTCCCAATCAAATATCAACTGAAAATAACAAAAGTACTCAGTATGATCCCAATTTCATTGTTTAAAACATACATATAAACATATACGTACATAAAAGACTAAAGGAAATATATCAATACAGCAATATCCTTAAGTGGGAGTATAAATCATTTTTTAACATCTTTTTGTTTAAATTTTTTCCATAATATTTATTGGGTTTTGTTCATTTGAATTTCATGCCATATACCAAAATTTTTTTACTTATTTTTTATTACACAAATAAGAATACTTAATTTCTTTTATAATCAGAAAAAAAACCAAATTGCTTCTAAATCTCACCATCCAAGAACTATTACAGTTAACATTTTATTGTGTTGATTTGTTACATTCTTTTCCTACACACTCGGTTTGTGGAATTTGGGGACATTTTCCTTTACACAGCTACCGGTGTCGTGTTTGTGGCCTGTCGTCACTTGCACTCCTGTGTCAGAGCAGAGCCGGTTGATAGCTGAGGGAGCCTCGGGGGTGGTCCTTGGAGGGGCTGCCTCCAGCCTCACTCTCTGGCCCTTTGCTGCAGGAAGATACCATGGAGGAGTCTGGGTGGAAGCTGGTGCACGGTGACGTCTTCAGGCCCCCCCAGTACCCCATGATCCTCAGCTCCCTGCTGGGCTCAGGCATTCAGCTCTTCTGTATGATCCTCATTGTCATCTGTGAGTGGGCTCAGTGGGGCTGGGTGTGGGTGGCATGGCCGCCTCTTCTGTGTGCCTCAAGGAGAGGAGGGTGGGCTTCCCTCCCTGGAGAAGGAGGGTCAAGCTTTTGACACCAGGTGGACATGTCAGTATGTCCAGGCCAGACAGCTGTCAACCCCAGCAATAGCCCCCGCCCAGGACCATTTACCAGCTGGGTTCCTTCCCAGCACCATTTACAGAGCCCACCATGTCTGCTCCATCAGGGAAGCCACGCATCACTGCTGCGAGATGGGCCTTTTGTAGTCAGAGGGTAAGTGACTTACCCAAAGTCAGTACCAAGGTCAGGACTGGAATCAGGTCTTTTTTTAATCTGAGAAAAACCCACTAATATGTAATAGTTTCAGATAGCTTTGGAGTTAGTCTGCCTAGATTTGTATCTCAGCCTCATGCATCCAAGCTTTGTGACCTTGGACAGGCCACTAACTCTGTGAGCCTCAGTTTCCTTGTCTGAGAAAGGGGAGAAACTGATCACCACCTTGCAGAGTTGACAAGGCAGAATCAGTGAGGCGACATTTGTGGTGCACTCAGCCCAGCGTCTGGCTCGTTACAAGAGCTCTGTGGACTGGAAGCTTCAGAGAAGATTTGGCCAGGCACAGCCCAGCAGCTGCTGCACTCCTCCAAGCCCCAGCTAAGACCAGTCTTCTCCTGTAGAGGGGAAGGGACTATGCTGTTGAGGCCAAGGGAGAAGGGAGCCTCATTTAGCCCCCTCTGCCCAGTGTCCTGGTGAGCCTGTCCACGACGGGGCTGGGGACCTGGCAATCAGCCCCCCTGACTTTCTCTGCCCTGCCCTCCCTCCCTCCACAGTTGTGGCCATGCTTGGGATGCTGTCGCCCTCTAGCCGGGGAGCTCTCATGACCACAGCCTGCTTCCTCTTCATGTTCATGGGGTAGGTGTGTCTGAGGGGGCTCCTGGGGGCCGGCACAAGCCTCTTTCACTCCAGCTAACAGGTCCTCTTGGTGTGAATCCCTGCCATTTCTCCACAGAGTGTTTGGTGGATTTTCTGCTGGCCGTCTATACCGCACTCTAAAAGGCCATCGCTGGAAGAAAGGAGCCTTCTGTGTAAGTGTTCTAAACCTTCTCCTGCTGTTTGGTGGGGAGCTAAGAAGCTTCTTCCTGGGTGGCTCAGGAAGAGAGTAGGCAGGCACTGGTGGGGATTTTTGAGCCAAAGTCTGAGCAGCAGCATGATGTAGCAGGAGGAGCACAGGCCAGGGGTCAGGAATGTGGAGCTCTTACCCGCAGGCTCGCAGCAAGACCTCTTAGGGCCTTAACTCCCCATCTGCAAGATGCAGGATTTGAATTTAGGTGATTTTTAACCTACATTGTCCAATGGCTCGAGCAAGAGAAGAAATTAGGGGTTCAGAATAGCAGGATTTAGAACAGCAGGGCTGCTGGGAGACACCCTGCCCAACAGAGTAAAGAGGGACTTGCCAGCCAAAGACAGAAGAGGCCAGGCCCACATTAACTGTCAGCCTGTCCACCAGACTTTGGTGCCTCCATTCCTCTTCTGTGAGGACAGCTCCTGCCCTTCTCTGTCCTCCTGGGCTTAGGAGAGAGCTTAGCAACAGAAAAGACCATAGAAACCAGAGGAGTCTAGGGGTCAACCTCACCTCCTAGGGACCCCTGAGCTGCTTCTCCCAGAGCCAGTGAATCCCTTAGAGGACTAGGGACACCCTTGGGTGCCCATACTCAGAGAAGCCTCTAGGGCGAGCACTCTGAAACATGTTCACAGCTGTCAAAAGCTCCAGGGGAGCTCAGGCTGTGTTGGTTCTGGTTGCTAGGCCTCAGGCACAGAGTAAGCCCTCAGTAAAGAAGAGCTGTGATGGTGATTGCTCTGGAAGGATCAGAATGGTTCCCACATTCTTGATGATTCAAGCATTTTTCTTAGGCCACTGTGCGCCAAGAGCCAGGGATCTAGAGAGGAATAAAATCCACCATTCCCCTCTCCCGAAGAGAGCCTTTCCTGGTAAAGTCTCCCTCCAGACACTCTCCAGGCTCTCCCTCGACAGGTCCTGAACCAAACCCAGTCTCTTCCCCCTTACGTCTGGTGGCCCCATCATTCATCCAGGTGCCCAGGCCAGAAACCCGGGAAGCTGCCTGTCCTCCTTCTCCTCCCTCGTGCCTCGCCTCTTCTTAGACATGAAGTGTCGCGGGTATTCCTGCCAAATGATCCACAAATCCCCTCCTATCTCTCCATCTCTGAGGCTCTGGCCCAGATTGAGGCTTCTTGCCTCTCACTTGGACTGACCTGGCCGTCCATGGTCTGCCCACAAGATTCTGCCCTCCCTCCACAGCTGGGCCTCTGCCACAGCCTGCTGCAATGTGTGTGCCCAACTACCTTCTCTCCTCTGCCCTTGCCTGTGCCATCTCCTCTGCCTGGGCCACGCCACGCCTCACCCTCCTCTCCTGGTTAGTGTCACCTCATCCTTTAAGTCTTAGCTCCAGCATCACTCCTCTGGAGGCTGCTGCCTCCCCTGATTCTGCCCTCAGTGTCCTCCTCAGTGCTCCAGAGGAGCCGGGCAGAGCCTTGGTAAAAGCTAAGTAGTACTTGGCAGAGGGAAGCATTGCTGTGTATGTTGTTCTCCATGTAGGGGTCTGCCTTTTTTCCTGTTTGTACCCCTGGTGTCTAGCACAGTGTCCAGTCAATAAATTTCAGCCAGTAAGGCAGAGGAGGAGGAAGTCCCTGCTACACAGCAGAGTAAAACAGGAACACAAAGGAAGGGAGGGAGTGACATGTGAGCTGGACCTTAAAGAGGAGGATTTCACACGGAAGCAGCCAGCATAGGGGCCTCAGGTTCTGGAATCACCAATCCTGGCTCTGTTCTTTCCTTGGTTGATAACTTTGACTAGCACCTGAGCTTCGGTTTGCCCATCTCTCTAATGGGGATTGCTGCGTCTACCTGTCAGAGTTGTTGTGTGGGTGGAAAGAGACTGCACGTAAGGCCGGTGGTACAGTGCTAGCACTCAGGAGGCAGATACCCTCAAGTGCTGATGGCCTATGTAAAGGCCCAGGGATAGGAACGTGCAGAAGCAGTGACCAGTTGTTGGGTACGAGGGGTGGTAGGCCAAAGATGGAACTGGCAGTGGAGGTTGAGCGCCAGGTTGCAGAGGGCCTTGGTCATTGTGGTCACTGACCCACCTGGATGCTCAGGCTGCCACAGTGGTCTCTGGCCCGATAGTCACTGCGTGGCAAGGAGGCAACTCAACTGTAAGTCTGGGGCTTTGGTTCCCTGTGCCTGGACCCCAGCCCAAGAGATTCTGACTGAGTACACCACAGTAGGTCAAGAGCATGGGCCCAAGTTTGTACCTTGCTCCCCCCTCAACAGACTGTGTGAGGCTGTGGGGAGAGGTATTTAACATTGCTGGGCCTCAGTGTCCTCATTAAAAGGAATAATGTTAGTCCTCCCCTTCTAGACCTGCAGCGAGGATTATGTGAGATGATATATTCAAAGCCCAGTGTCTGCCATCCCCAAGGCTCAGGTAAAGCCTAACCATCATTCTAGGTGGTTTGGCTTGGGGCCCAGACATACACGTTTGTAAAGTTTTATTCATTCATTTATTCAACCAATATATATTGAATAGCTACTGCATTCTAAGTGAGGGGAGTGGAAAAAGCTGGACATGCAGTTCCCAAGGAACTCACGAGGTCTGTCGGGGATACGCAGACATTGATCAGGTAGCAAAAATACACAATTACAAACTGGAATGAGAGCAAGGAAGGGGCAATTTCAGAGACCTAAGAGGGCATAGAACAAGGAGTCTGCATAGTCTGAGAGTCAGGGAATACTTTCTAGAAGGAATGATACTTGAGCTGAGACCAGAGGACAAGGAGGGGTTGAGAATTTCTCCCCAACACTGGGATGGGGGAGCTCCCTGGATGCAGCTCCTCAGCCTGGCCCCTCTTGCTCCCAGACGGCAACGCTCTACCCTGGCGTCGTTTTTGGCATCTGCTTCGTATTGAATTGCTTCATCTGGGGAAAGCACTCATCAGGAGCGGTAAGTGCCCTGCCTCTCCAGCAAGAGAGGGCCAGCTGTGCTCAGTCCCACTCCCAAAGGCCACTTCCTGTTATTCCCTTCCCTTTTCTGAGTCCCCAAAGTTCTGTTCCCAGCCCTGAGGGCCGGCAGGGGTTTCCCCAGCACTACCCATCATCTGCCCATGCCCTGGGCCTGGCCTTCCTGTGGGCTCTTTCAGACAACTGCCAAAGCTCACTTCTCTAAAGGGAGGTTCCACAGCCCAGGGGCCAACTGGGGAATTTCCCTTTGTCTTAACCAAGAGAGAGCTGCCTCGTGTGAGGATATCCCAAAATAGGGCTCTCCTCCTCTACATCCCTGCCCTGCAGCACCAGTCTCTGCAGGTAGAGGCAGAGAGGAAAGGCAGGGTAACGTCCTATCCTTTGAGTGGGGATCCCACCAGCCCCAGTCCAGTATGTTGCTAGCAGCTGCCCAGGATGCATTGAGAAGGATTTTGAGCTCAGTTGGGGTAGGGGGATGGAGTCTCCATCAGTAACAGGCCTGCAGTAGAGTTGGGGCAGGCATTTGCCATTCACCTTAGCAGGTGGAGCCCTCTGCCCTTTACCTGCACGTGCCCATTAAAGGTCCTTGCATGATGTCTTAAGTCCAGGCAGCTGGAGGACGGGATTCTTCCCCAGCAACTTAGCAAGCCATCCTCAGGAAACATGGAGTCATGCCCTTCCTCTCACTTCCTCTTTTTTAATACCTGTGTTCCTTCTCTCTTTCAACATTTTCCTCTCAATTACAGCTACTTACTATAAACACTCATTGTAGAAATTTTGCAAAGTACAGAGAAGTTAAAGAAGTAAGGCTGGGCGCGGTGGCTCTTGCCTATAATCCTAGCACTCTGTGAGGCTGCGGTGGGAGGATCTTTTGAGGTCAGGACTTCAAGACCAGCGTGAGCAAGAGTGAGACCCTGTCTCTATAAATAAATAAATGAATGAGGTCAGGGGTTCAAGACTAGCCTGAGCAAGAGCGAGACCCCGTCTCCGTAAATAAATAAATGAATGAAGGAAGGAAGGAAGAAATAGGCCAGACGTGGTGGCTCACACCTGTAATCCTAGCACTTTGAGAAGCCAAGGTGGGAGGATTGCCTGAGACCGGCCTGGGCAATAGTGAGACCTTGTCTCTACAAAAAAATAAGAAAAATTAGCCAGGTGTGGTGGCCTCACACCTGTAGTCCCAGCTACTTGGGAGGCTGAGGCAGTAGGATTGCTTGAACCTAGGAGTTGGAGGTTGCAATGAACTATGATGACACCACTGCACTCATTGCTCAGGCAACAGACCCT